TGAACAGTTACACTGGCTCCCTACTCTGTCCACATTCCAGCCTTGGGCCTATGTGCCTTCCTGTTCATTCCCCTGAAAATTCCTGACTGATCTCCTTAGCTCGAAACCTCTTCCACTAGATCCAAACATCCTTAAGCCCAGAAAAGCTTCATTCTTCAGTCTCAGGGTACACAACTAATCAACCTAGATAAAAAGTCCTGCCCCTATCCTTACCCATACATTGGCCCTAAGCCCCCAACTGATCATCCTGCCTAAGATTTCCAGAATACCCTGGTAAGTAGAATCACATCCAGTGGGGCTTGATCTGTCCTGCACCCACGGGATATACATTTTCCTGCTTCAGGGACCATATCTAATCTGTCTACCTAGTTAGACACTCCCCATGCTGGCTCAACCTCTGTCTTGGGTGGAGACCCCTGTTAAACATCCTGCCTATGACCTCCAGACTACCCTGAATTCAGACCCTGCCAACTGCTACTTGATTTCTGTGTACCCTGAGCAGTTACGTTCTCACTCCCCTCCTTATACCAAGCCAAACTCAGTCCCAGGCCCCCTTCTGCTCATCTGTCCTGAGATCTTCTGAATAGCTTCCTTAGCAAGACCCTGTGTATCTTGATCCCTCTGCATTCAGACTAACTAGCGATATTTTCCTCCTCAGGGTTCAAACCTAATCTTCCTAGCTAGTTAGACATTCCCCACTCTGCCCCCAACCCCTGCCATGGCCCTAAGACCCCTTGCTGATCTTCCTGCCTGAGCCCTCTAGAATACCCTGGTAAGCCAGACCCCCAACCACTGCTTCTTGAAACTCCTGGACCCTGACCAGCTACCTTCTCTCTCCCTACTTTGGCCCCATTTCTGAATTCAGTCCAGGCCCCCTGCTGCTCATCCCTCTTTGAGAACTCCTAACTTCCTATGTCAGACACAGCTGTGTCTTGATTCCTCTGCTCCCCGACCACACACTGAAACAGTGTCTTGATACAGCTTCTTCCAGACTAGCGAGAGTATGTTGCTTCAAGGTCCAAACCTAATCTACCTAGCTAGTTGGAGCCTCATCCATTCCTTGGCCCCAAGCCTCCTTCCTGATCCTCGGCTGGAGAAATGCAGACTACCCTGGTAGATCACACCCTACCTACTGCATAATTCCCTTACACTTTGACAAGCTACACTCTCCTTTCCCCCTCTGCCCCCATTCCCAAATTGGTCTTAGCCCCCTTCCTGTTCATTGCCCCAGAAAACTCCAGACTGCTTTCCTCAGCCAGATAATGCTCACTGCCTCTTGATCCCCTGCAACCAGACTAACTAGATTTTTCCAATACATCTTCCTTGCAAGTTAAGACCCTCTCCACACTGTCCCTACCCCTGCCTTTGTCTAAAGTCAACCTCCTAGTTGTCCTGCCTGTGATTTCCAGACTACCTTGCTATGCCAGACCCCACACACTGTATCTTGATGCCCCCTGCACCTAGGCTAGATACATTCTCCTTATTCAGGGTCCAAGTCTAGTCTTTATAGATAGTTAGACTCATCTCCCTCTGTCCCTACCCCTGCCTTGGTCCTAGGCCCCCCTCTGTATCTTCCTGCCTGAGACCTCCAGACTACCCAAACCCTGTCAGCTACACCTGGATCCCCTGTACCCTAACCAGCTACATTTTCTCTCCCGACGCTTTCACCATTGCCACTTTGGGCACAGGCCCCTGTCTGCTCATGACCACTGAGAAATCATGACTGGCTTCCTAAGCTAGACCTCACTGTGTGTTGAGCCACCTGTAACCCAGACAATCTGCATTCTCCAACTCAGGGTACATATATAATCTACAGAGCTAGTTAGACCCTCGCTAAGCTGTCCCCACCACTGCCTTGGCTTTATGCCCAAATCCTGATTGTCCTGTCTTAAACCTCTAGACTTCCCTTGTAAATCTACTGGTCTTGGTTCCCCTGCACACACTGACTAGCTACATTATCTAGCCTCTGGGTACACACCTAACCTACATGGCTAGTTACATAATCCCTACCCCATTCTTACCCATGCCTTGGCCCTAAGTCTTACTCCTGACCTTCCTGCTTGAGTCCTCCAAAGTACACCGTTAAGTCAGACGTTGCCCACTGTGACTTGAATATCCTGGATCCTGACCTTCAATATTGTCTAACCCTTGCCCCCATTCCTACATTCAGCCTAGGCCTCCCTCCCCCACCTTTTCATCCTATACATGTTAACAAGCTATTTCAGAGAGTACTGACTGTCATCACTATGTAAATTTACATAACTGAAAATGGACCTTGTGAATGCACTGTCTTAAGACATACCTTGAAGTTTTTCAAACATCTTCCCAATCTCTGTTCTGTGAAAAACAAACATGAAATTCTTAATTGAGGATGTGAAAATTCAGTGTGTTTTAAAAGAATATTATGTAATGTTTTACAAACAAGAGTTTATATGAGGCAAAGTTGAATTTTTCTAAGACCACTTAAAGGATGGGCAAAGGTAACATTATATACATATATATATAATATTATATAATTGCATATGTATCTGTAAATCACCTCAGCTGTTCATCTTCTGATGATGATGAAATACTGGCATCATCACTGTCATCACGGTCTGTTCTATAATCTGCATTAAAGAGAAAGAGAAAAACATCAGAAATATTTTTACTACAGCGTTTCTAGGGCTCTTTGAGAAGCAAAAGTTATCATTTTAGTTTGGTTTTAAATCTTTTTAATTTCTAAGAAGTTCATACATGCACACATGATGAAATTAGGCATAGGTCTTGTATATGTGTACAAGCCTTTTATTCAGGTATGTGTACAAGTCTTCCTAGATGAAACACTTTATATCATGATGTTGATATCAGTATTATTGGAAGCGAGGATGGTACAGGTCAAGAAGAGGGACTCTAGGATTCCTGCATCTGTGTCCTGGGGTGGGAACATTTCATGAACCTAAATTCTACAAACCTGTGAGTGAGACAGATATTTAACAGCTGAAACATCCTACAGTCTGAAGAAACGATTCTGCACCTAGGGTGTCCGTATGCCCCACCTGCCAATAGTTAACTCAGACTGCGCCCAGGGTCAGGCACAGTCTTGAAGGACCCCCCCTGGTTTTACCTGGCATTTGTGGAGCACTGCACTGAAAATCATCACCAGATGCCGAATCCGTATCCTCTCTTGGGCACTCTGCAGTTCTGCCAGTAGCCTTCTTGGGTAGCATGTCTACCGTCTCCTGGCACTAGACTTAACTTCTAAATGCTGTGATTGAAGTGACACACGTAAGACACCAGAAGAATTAAATGAAAGTAGTGGAAAAAGTTACCAGGGCTCCACCGCTAGAGAGGTGGGGTACCTTCCTCATTATGCAGGATCAGGAAGGTTCCAGGGGGACACTACTGTCCTGTCTTGTATTCAGTGCTGCACGTGAGGCCCACAGTGCCCTACATACTTCAACCTAAGTTTGTAATGTTGGGTTCCTGCACCTCCTATAATAAAAAGCTGGACCCTGTATCCTCCCCATTCCCAACTTTTGTCTACACTGGTATATGGTCAGGAGGTCCAAGACACCTAGTGCAGATTCAGACATTAAGTGCCATGTGTAGTGAAACGCGTATGCCGCACACTGAGGTAAAACCCCTGCCTCCTTGATCAGGACACCACAGGAGCACCTCAAGGGAACTAAGTATCCTGAGGAGCCATGGCCGAAGTATCCTAAGGACCCTCTGTACTCCTCCCCTACCCGAAACACTATCTCACAGTGTCCCCTCATGATTTGGGGGAAGTGCGGACCCTTACCTCTCCCTGACTGCCCTCAGGAGCCTCAACTCAGGTGGCTGCGGAAACTCGCGGACAGGGCCTGAGGCCAGACTGGGCCCTCTCTCCTTGGAATCCTCAGTCCCGGAGCCACACAGACCTAGAGGTCTTAGGGCTGGAGCCGTAAAGCAGAGTCCCATGACACTCAGGTCAGCCGCCGGGGTAGGGAGGACTTACCGCACACGTCTTTCTCCTCAAGGACGTCGACTTTCTCCTCAAGGACGTCGTCTTTCTCCGCAGCACCTTCTCAAATGTCGCCAGAACTCACCGTCCTCAGTAAGAGTCCCTCTGATTGGCTGGCACAGTGCGCATGCCTGAACAGTGCGCGTGCTTGAGTTGTGCGCATGCTTGAGCTGGGGAGCTGTGCGCATGCGTGAGGTATGGGCCTGCGTGAGCCGTTGCGTTCCAGAGTGAGCTGGAGGGTTCCTGCATTTTCTGGCTGTGTTCTCTGGCTAGTCATAGCTGACAGCTACTGAGGCATTGGCTGCCGGCGTTTCGCTGCCAGTTTCTGGGTGAAAAGTTTTCACAGTACGTGAGCTTGCTTGCCAGCCCACCCCAGGACGGAGCAGTGAAGCCCTCCTACAGGAGTGATCCATGGACAGTCCATGCTTGTTCCATCTGCCTTTTCACCCAGAGGAGGAGCCCTCCATTTTATTCTGTTGTCTTTGAAGTCCCCTAGCAAATGGCTATAATATTAGCTCCCTTACCAACACCAAATAGGGGCTCCTCTTTCCTGATAGCCACACCAGCATTACTATGGAAACTCAGATTAAAACTGATTGGAGAGGTGGCTCAGCTGGTTAAGAACACTGACTACTTTTGCAGAGGACCCAGGTTTGATTTCAAGCACCCATATGGCACCTAACAACCTTCAGTAACTCCAGTTCCACAGGATCTGACACTCTCTTCTGACCTCTGTGGGCATTGTACAACATGGGTGCACTTACATACTTGCAGACAATACATTCATGCACATAAAATAAAATATATTTAAATTTAAACTACATATTCTCTCACATATGTAGAATAAATTTGGGTAAAGGGAATGGAAGGATGTCTCATACTTTAAGAGCACATCCTGCTCTCACAGAAGAACTGGGTTGGTTTCCAGCACTCAAATGGAGACTTATAACCTTTGGTAACTCCAGTTCTAGGCTGTTCAGTGGCCATTGCACACAGGTGGTGCACTTATATACAGGTGCAGGCAAAACACTCAAATAAATAAATAAATAGCTTTTTAAAAAATTGGGTAAAGTCTTAAAAATATCTAGAAACTAAGAGAGAGTAAAAAGAGGTGCTGAGGATCTGAAGTGGGGAGCAGGTACATGTGACTTTCAAGTTGAAAGGCGACCAAAAGGAGGTTACATGGAGGGAGCAGAGCTTTAGAGGGTGGGGAATAAGTGGAAGAAGATTCTATTAAAACAGTGTTTAAAAATTTCATAAAAGTATGCAATCTTTTTCAGTCTAATTTTAAACTTTAAAATTTAAAAACAAGTCCCTCCCATTGTAAGAAGTTGGAAATGTGCTGCATAAGTCCCTGCATGGGATTGCCCATGTCCCTCTCCTCTTTCTCCAGAACCGGAATCAATGCTTTCACGTCATTACCTACTGTTCTGCTGCCTCCTCCTTTGTTCGTTTCTGTGTCCTGCCCAGCCTCTGCTTTACTGCAGGTTCCACACTGCTCCCAAGTTTTCTGCTCCTTCCTATATAGCTGTGACCTATGAACAGTATATTCATCTATTTCCTGTCCACAGACTTCTGAGCAGAGCTCCCTTAAATGAATTGTCGCTGCAAAATATTGGCCAGTCAGTAGAAAGATGCAGTTGGTAAGCTAAATCAGTTCTAGATAGCTACTGTACAGCACCTTGTCATCAGTCCTGCATTATACAGTTAACACTTGGCAGAGGACACATCTCCAAAATGTTATACATTTTTGCCCTCCCCTCACTTAACAGAAAAAATGAATGTTAGGTAGCATTTTGGAAGAGAGATGTGTGTGTCAATTTTGATTGTTTTGATGGTTTCATGGATGCGCACATGTAATCAAATCTGTAATATTTTAAATATTTACATTGTTCTTATACCTCACCATAGGAGGTTTTTCTCAGTATAGGAGTAAACAAAATTTTAAATGAAACATGAAAGTGCCTGAGAGAAAAAAAATAACTGCTCCTTTGCTTTTCAAAAGTTGCTTAGGTTAGTATGTAAGTTTCTTTTTCAAAACCAGCTTCATTGAGTTCAGGCCTATACTAAATTACTTAAACAGTACATCTGATAAAAATGCATCACCCTAACCCCACCAAATTATCAAATCCACCTACTGCTTCCAGAATATCTTCTGAGCTTCCTTAAATATTTGTGTGTATTAGTGTATTGCCTGCATGTGTTTCAGTGCACCTTTGTGATGCAATGCCCAAGAAGGTCAGATGACACTGCTGGATATCCTGGAACTGGAGTTACAGATGGTTGCTAGCCACCCTGTGGGTGCTGGGAACTGAACCCCGGTCCTCTGCAAGAGGCCAGTGCTTGTAGCCTCAGAGCCATCTCTCCAGACCCTGAGGCTCCTTCATGAGCCCATCTTCTTTTCACTTGCAGTCAGCCTAGTATGCAAGCCACCAAACTCTGTTTCCCCATACAAGAGTGTTGATTTTTCATTATATTATTTTTCAAGTTAGCAAGCAAACTGATGGGTTTCATTATCGAATTTCACACATATAATGTGATTTTTTCTTATTCATCTTCTTTTCCCACTCCTCTCCCCATCAACTTTGATGCACTCTTACTATCGCTCTCCACTCCCTAAACAGTACTCCCTACTGCTTTCATGCCACAGGAGTTCCATT